AAAAAAAAAAAGAAAAGAAATTCAGTGCTCATCAGCACTGTAACACTTATAAGGACCACAAATATTTTAAATTAGTGGGAGAGGCGTAAAAGGTTGTATTGCAGAAATTAAAAGATGAAAGGCAAAAGCAAACACAATTCTTTCAAGCAGCAGTAAGACCTGGAAATAATGGCTCTGAAGCAACTTGTAAAGTCACTCATATACTGGGGAAAAAAGGGAAGCCATTCAGTGATGTAGAAATTGTGAAGGAATGCATTGTCGCAGTGTACAATCCTTAGACAACGATAACGTTTCAAAGTACAAACAACGGCCTCTTTCAAGGAGAACCAGAACTGATTGGCAGCATGAATTAGCTTTCAGGTTAACAGAACAACTTCACACAATACTTCAAAAAGAAAATATATATATTATTCAACCACTTTGGATGAATAAGCTGAAATCACTGACTCAGCGCAGGTTTTATACTTCATTCGGGTCGTAACAGAAAATTCTTTGCTACAAAGAATTACTCACTTTGGGCACTCTTGCGAATAGAACACAGGGAATAGATATCTTCAACAACTTTCAGGATAAATATCGTGAAGTCAGACTAAATTTGGTAAGTTTAGTGAGTGTATGCACAGATGGTGCACCTTCCATGAAAGGAAAACGTGAAAGGTTTATTGCACAGATTAAAAAAGTATTAACAAATCCAGATGCTCTCATTTCTTTTCACTGTATCTTGCATCAGGAACATCTCTGTGGTAAAGCTATTATTTTAAGTGACGCTTTGCAACCAGTTATAAGTATTGCTGTTAATAACTACATTCATGCAAATACAACATGGCATCATCGGTTTCATAATACACTAAAGTTGAAGGATGAGGTATTCCATGTGGATTTGCCATATCTTTCTCAAGTGTGTTGGCTATGGCAGGGACAGGTGTTAGCCAAAATGTTATCTCTGTGAGAACAGAGTTTAATTTTATGAAGAACAGAATCAGCAATGTGAATGACTGAAAGAAGATTTCTATGGGAATGCAGCATTTCTGTGTGATATCATGCCAAATCAAAATGACTTGAATATTTTTTTGCAAGGTAAAACTAAATCCATATATATGATATGTAGCAAAAAATCCAAATATTTTGAAAAAAGCTATCTTTTTTCAAAGCATTTCTTCTTCAGAAGGAAATTCCATATGAACATTTTTCTCAGTTAGCAAAGGTCATTGATGTTAGGTTTGTTCCAGGTGGGAACCCAAAAAGTATGTCTAGGACGGAATGTGGTTAATGGAAAACTTAGGCTTGTAAAACAATAGCCGCAGGAGTCCGGGGAATCCCGGACTTTGTAGATCTAACAGACAGCTGCAGCCAGTGTTCCTTCCCCTACGTCCCTGACAGAGACGAAGTTTATCCCTCCCTAGCTCTGCTGATAAGGACGACAGCAGAGCTGCAGGATTGGTGTGACTGGGTCAGGGGTCCTAGGAGCTGGTTGTTTGAAAAAGAATTTATTATAAGCGGCTGTTCTGGCCCACTTACCTACTCCCCCTGGAGAAACCCTCTATAAAACCCAAGGCTCTCCCCTCCCTCGGTGTGGACACTTTTTCACCTCCACCCATCTGCACCCAGATGCTCAAAATAAACAGCATTTTGCTACACATGTGGCTTCGTGTCTCTCTCTCTCGGCTCTGGACCGAACAATTGATGAGCAGGGTGATATATGCAAATCAACTGAAGAATCAACAGCTGTCATAGACCTATTAATTAGAGAATGCAATGAAAGGTTCATTTGGAGAATCATGACATCACACTCAAAATAGCATTTCAGCTTCACCTAGTTGGTATCACCAATGTATCTAAAGAACTGCAGATGGAATTGATTGAGCTCTCAGTAGATGACATTTTAAAGTCATGTTTGATGCTAAGAAAGATCCAGTTGACATATGGAAAAATGCAATAGAATATCCACGCCTTCAGCAACATGCCTGAAAAATGCTTTCTTGCTTTTCAACCACTTACTGCTGAGAATCTACCTTCTCCTACCTGATCCAAATCAAGATGCCCTTAAGGTCACAAATGACTGAAACCCATCTAGAGGATCAACTGAAACTGTAGACCTCCATGCTGCAACCAGATATTCAAATGTTTTCCAACGAAAAG